AGAACCATAGACTCACACAGAGCACCAAAGACTCACACAGAGAGCCATAGACTTACACAGAGAGCCATAGACTCACACAGAGACCCATAGACTCACAGAGAGAGCCATAGATTCACACAGAGAGCCATAGACTTACACTGAGAGCCATAGACTCACACAGAGACCCATAGACTCACAGAGAGAGCCATAGATTCACACAGAGAGCCATAGACTTACACTGAGAGAGTCAGAGACTCACACAGAGTGCCATAGACTCACACAGAGAGCTATAGACTCACGCAGAGAGCCATAGACTCACACAGAGAGCCATATACTCACACAGAGAGCCATAGACTCACACACAGAGCCAATAACTCACACAGAGAGAGTCAGCGACTCAGACAGAGAGCCAACGACTCACACAGAGAGCCATAGACTCACACAGAAAGCCATAGACTCACACAGGGAGTCATAAGGTCACACAGAGAGCGATAGACTCACACAGAGAGACATAGACTTACACAGAGAGCCACAGACTCACACAGAGAGCCATAGACTTACACAGAGAGCCATAGACTCACGCAGAGACCCATAGACTCACAGAGAGAGCCATAGACTCACACAGAGAGCCATAGACTCAGACAAAGAGCCATAAACTCACACAGAGACCCATAGACTCACAGAGAGAGCCATAGACTCACACAGAGAGCTATAGACTCATACAAATAGCCATAGACTCACACAGAGAGTCATAGACTCACAAAGAGGCCCATAGACTCACACAGAGAGCCATAGACTCACACAGAGAGCCATAGACTCACACAGAGAGCCATAGACTTACACAGAGAGCCACAGACTCACACAGAGAGCCATAGACTTACACAGAGAGCCAAAGACTCACACACAGAGCCATAGACTCACATAGAGAGCCATAGACTCACACAGAGAGCCATAGACTCAAACAGAGAGCCATCGACTCACACAGAGAGCCATCAACTCACACAGAGAGCCATCGACTCACACAAAGAGCCACAGACTCATACAGAGAGCTATAGACTCACACAGAGAACCATAGACTCACACAGAGAACCATAGACTCACACAGAGAACCAGAGACTCACACAGAGAGCCATAGACTCACCTAGAGACCCATAGACTCACACAGAGAGCCATAGACTCATACAGAGACCCATAGACTCACACAGAGAACTATCGACTCACACAGAGAGCCACAGACTTACACAGAGAGCCATAGACTCACACAGAGAACCATAGACTCACACAGAGCACCAAAGACTCACACAGAGAGCCATAGACTTACACAGAGAGCCATAGACTCACACAGAGGCCCATAGACTCACAGAGAGAGCCATAGATTCACACAGAGAGCCATAGACTTACACTGAGAGCCATAGACTCACACAGAGACCCATAGACTCACAGAGAGAGCCATAGATTCACACAGAGAGCCATAGACTTACACTGAGAGAGTCAGAGACTCACACAGAGTGCCATAGACTCACACAGAGAGCTATAGACTCACGCAGAGAGCCATAGACTCACACAGAGAGCCATATACTCACACAGAGAGCCATAGACTCACACACAGAGCCAATAATTCACACAGAGAGAGTCAGCGACTCAGACAGAGAGCCAACGACTCACGCAGAGAGCCATAGACTCACACAGAAAGCCATAGACTCACACAGGGAGTCATAGGGTCACACAGAGAGCCATAGACTCACACAGAGAGCCACAGACTCACACAGAGAGCCATAGACTTACACAGAGAGCCATAGACTCACGCAGAGACCCATAGACTCACAGAGAGAGCCATAGACTCACACAGAGAGCCATAGACTCACACAAAGAGCCATAAACTCACACAGAGACCCATAGACTCACAGAGAGAGCCATGGACTCACACAGAGAGCTATAGACTCATACAAATAGCCATAGACTCACACAGAGAGTCATAGACTCACAAAGAGGCCCATAGACTCACACAGAGAGCCATAGACTCACACAGAGAGCGATAGACTCACACAGAGAGCCATAGACTCACACAGAGAGCCATAGACTCACACAAATAGCCATAGACTCACACAGAGAGAGTCATAGACTCACACAGATAGAGCCATAGACTCACACAGAGAGCCATAGACTCACACAGAGAGCCATAGACTCACACAGAGAGCCATAGGGTCACACAAATGAGTACCTAGTACGGTGTGCAGTAAACATCGCAAACAGGGGAGACAAAGGCGGCCGGGCGTGGTGCTGACCACCCACCCCCTCGTGTGCCGTGCCGGCCTTCATAGGTGCTAATCGCTAACAGCACTTGCTGGAAAAGTCTGTTTGCACCATATGGGAGATATTTATTTTTTTATGAGAAGGATGTCCTGGTGGTCCCCCTCTTTTTGAAGGAGGGACCGCACAGACTTTAACCTCTACAGGGGCATCTCACTCCTCAGTGTGCGAGGAAAGGTCCTTGCAAGGATTATTCAACATCGCCTTGCCAGGCACGCTGAGGAGAGGCTTGCGGAGCCCCAATGCGGTTTCAGGAAATGGCGGTCCTGCACAAATGCCATATTTTCTGTCCGTCTGCTTCAGCAGAGGTGTAGGGAATTCCAACAAGACCTACATCTCTGTTTTATTGACCTAGTCAAGGCCTATGGCACCATCAGTAGGCCTGGACTCTGGGTTGTTCTTCGTGCTTTCGGAATCCCTGACCTACTGCTCACGAACATTATGGACCTTCATGATGGTGAGCAGGCTCAGGTACATCTCTGTGGCCGGGAGTCGGAGCCATTCCCTGTACACCTTGGGCTGCGACAGCGATGTCCTCTGGTTCCAACATTACTTCAAATATTTTTCGACCACGTAGTTCGTGAAGCCTTCGATGGCTGAATCGGAGGAATTTCCATCTGGTACAGATACAATGGGAGGCTGATCCATGCCCGGGTTCGGTCAAGGGATGGCTCCCTATTGGTCAACCACGTTTTGTATGCTGATGATCTGGTAATTGCTGCACACTCAGAGGAGTTGGAGGCTCTGCTTCTGAACCTGGAGCATGCCTCTAAGAGGTGGGGCCTCACCTTCAGCCCCTCCAAAACTAAGCACCTGCCTGGGTATTTTGTGCCATCAAACACTCCACCCCCACAAATTCTCATTTGTGGAGAGAGTGGAAAGTGTTCAGTCGGGAAGCATTATATTTCATCGGCTGTGTAATGCTGTGTGGAATCTACCTGGTCTGTTGCCCCATAAGAGGTCATGGGTCTTCTCGGCCACAGTCATACCCTACCTTATCTATGCTTGTGAAACGTATACATTTCTAATGGTACATCTGCGCCAGTTAGAATAATTCAGGGTGACCTGCCTTAGATCCACTCCTGGGTTCAACCAGGCTGGATTGGGTGAGGAGCTCACAATTCCTTGACAAATCTGGACCCATTCCCAAAAGTGAGCTCCTCTGGCAGGCAAGGCTGGGTTGGCTGGGTGATGTAGCCCGCATGCCCAAGCACCGCATGGACAAGCAGCTTTTGTTTGGCCGGGGAGGATGGGCTAAACGGACACGACACGAGCTAGATAAGAGATGGACTGATGCGGTACCAGATATTGCGGAGCTGAGCGGACTTATCGATGACCGGTACCAGAAGGTGTAAAAAAATCGGCCTCTGTGGAGGAGGAGGCTCGTGAAGGACGCTGCTGCTGCTGCTACTGCTGCTGGGCAGTTGGAGGCAGTCGCCCTCCAGCAACAACGGAGGGCGGAGCAGCGACGCTCACAACAACGAGCGGAACGCCGGGCGGCTAAAGCGCAGCAAATTGGCACAGTAGGGGGCACAGGTGGTGGTGCATCTACCGGTCATCATCTCAGCCAGCCAACCCATGGCGCACCTGGGTAGGCCCCGTGACCTCCTGCCAGCGGGGAGTAATTCGACACGTGCCGTCAAAGTGCACCTAGCCTGGCACGGGCGCCGTGGTGACGTCACTGCCACTTAGTGTCGACCGGCAGCTTCTGGTGTCAGAGGGTGCGCTGCGTGGGTTGTTGTGGGGAGCGGTGGTGCAGTGGTTAGCGCGCTGTGTGTGTGTGGGGAGCGGTGGTGCAGTGGTTAGCGCGCTGTGTGTGTGTGGGGAGCGGTGGTGCAGTGGTTAGCGCACTGTGTGTGGGGGAGTGGTGGCACAGTGGTTAGCGCGTTGTGGTCCCAACCCCGCATTTCGAATCTCGCTCACGGCCAACAACCATTGACGATCAAACTCGAACCGGACATGGGCCTCCCCTAGGTCTACTCAGCCTCAAACGCGATATGTAAAAATAAAAAAAAACATCGTCATTGGGGAGACAAAGGCGGTCCGGTGTTCACTCGCTGACAGCACTTGCCCCAACAGTCTGTTCAGGCTATACGGGAGGTCTTTATCTCTTGTGTGTGTGTTATGTGTTAGGTGCTACTCGCTGACAGCACTTGCCCCAACAGTCTGTTCAGGCTATACGGGAGCTCTTTGTCTCGTGTGTGTTATGTGTTAGGTGCTACTCGCTGACAGCACTTGCCCCAACAGTCTGTTCAGGCTATACGGGAGGTCTTTATCTCTTGTGTGTGTGTGTGATGTGTTAGGTGCTACTCGCTGACAGCACTTGCCCCAACAGTCTGTTCAGGCTATACGGGATGTCTTTGTCTCTTGTGTGTGTGTGTGTTATGTGTTAGGTGCTACTCGCTGACAGCACTTGCCGCTGGCATTCTGTCGAGGCTACACGTGGGATACTCCTTGTTTCAATTCGGTAAAGTCACGTAGGTAAAAAAAATTAAAAAAATATAATAATAAAAATCACCTACGTGACTTTACCGAATAGAACCACAGAGTGTGGGACCCTTGCAGCCACGAAATCTTCAGATCTCGTACACACGGGGGATCTTTGTCTCCTCTCGCGGCGTCTGGACATGCTGCTGCCACCCACCGGACCCCCCCCCCCCCCCCCCCCCCATTAAGATGTAAATCACGTCTCTTGATAGTCGTCCAAAGTTCAGCTGCGGCCGCATCAATGAGTGAGCGCTGCGTGGGTTGCTTTGGTTGCGTGCTGCCGCTACTGCTGCTGCTGCTGTATAAGCCACGGCCGCTGTAATAATCAACTCTACCCACCACTACCACCACCACCACCACGACCCTTCATTCACTGCGTCGATCCGTTCACCAACGGAGGAGCAGGAGGAGCTGTGCGAGACGGAAGCTTCGTCGGCATCACTGCCCTGGGTTGTTTTTTTTTGCCGCTGCTGCTACTGCTGCCGTATGAGCCACTGCCGCTGCATAATCAACTCTACCCACCACCACCACCATCACCACCAACCCCCCATCATTCGTTGCGTCCGTCCGCTCCGCAACGGAGGAGCAGAGGAGGAGGCGGGAGAAGCAGAGGCGACTTTGACACAGCAACGGGGAGCAGGAGGAGCAGGGGGGATTTCGTCTTCTGAGTAAACTTCGCTGGTGCCCCCTAACTTCTTTGAGGTCTCCCGTAAGTTGCCTTCGTCAGCGGGGTTACGCGCGCGTTGCTTCTTCGTCGGGATTCAATTCCGTTATTTTCCCCATGATTCTTTTTTTCACCCCGTAAAATTTTCCGTAATTTTTTTGCCTTAATTTTTGTTCCGATTATTTTTTTCCCCCCCGTAATTTCCCTCCCCCTCTCCGCCGCCCCCCCCCCCCCCCATAATTTTTTGGGTGTTAAAAATCCCGTCTTGTCGATGGCGTTCGATAACGTTCGCGTGTTACACATTCCGAGTTGTCTCATGGGAAGGCCGCGGTCGCGTGAGTGACCGGGAAGAATTTACAGACGTTTGTCTTTTAACCTCTCCCGATCAACGTCGCAGTCATACAGCCATCGTCTATCCACTGCTGGATGAAGACCTCCCCAAGTCTCCACCACCACCATTATCATCATCGTCGTAGCAGCCAGGGTCTATCCACTGCTGGATGAAGACTCCCCAAGTCTCCACCACCACCATCATCATCATCATCGTAGCAGCCAGGGTCTATCCACTGCTGGATGAAGACTCCCCAAGTCTCCACCACCATCATCGTAGCAGCAGCCAGGGTCAATCCACTGCTGGATGAAGACTCCCGAAACCACCACCATCATCATCATAGCATCCATGGTCTATCCACTGGTGGATGAAGGCTCCCCAAGCCTCCACCACCACCATCATCATCATCACCATCATCGTAGCAGCCAGGGTATATTCACTGCTGGATGAAGATCAACATGATAATGTCATTCGCCCTGCGTGTAGTCTCTAATCCGCGTGCTCCTCTCTCTCTCCGTCTCTTCTTCGTTTCTCGGTGGAATTCCCAGCAGGAATCTGTGCGTGATTTGTTTGTTGTTGTTGCAAACTTATCAGTTTGTTGTTGTTGCAAACTTATCAGTTTGTTGTTGTTGTTGTTGTCGTCTTTCTGACAAAGGACCGTGCCTACGGCACGATGCGTCTCCTAAGATTCATAATGTTTGAAGGAATACGTGGGGAGGTGATGGAGGTGGGGAGGTGAGGGAGGTGAGGGAGGTGATGGAGGAGAAGGAGGAGAGGGAGGAGATGGAGGTGAGGTGATGGAGGTGAGGGAGGTGATGGAGGTGATGGAGGTGATGGAGGTGAGGGAGGTGATGGAGGTGAGGGAGGTGATGGAGGTGAGGGAGGAGAGGGAGGTGATGGAGGTGATGAGGTGAGAGAGGTGATGGAGGTGATGGAGGTGAGGGAGGTGATGAAGGAGAGGGAGGTGAGGGAGGTGATGGAGGTGATGGAGGTGATGGAGGAGAGGGAGGTGATGGAGGTGATGGAGGTGATGGAGGTGAGGGAGGTGATGGAGGTGATGGAGGTAAGGGAGGTGATGGAGGAGATGGAGGTGATAGAGGTGATGGAGGAGATGGAGGTGAGGGAGGTGATGGAGGTGAGGGAGGTGATGGAGGTGATGGAGGTGAGGGAGGAGAGGGAGGTGATGGAGGTGATGGAGGAGATGGAGGTGAGGGAGGTGATGGAGGTGAGGGAGGTGATGGAGGTGATGGAGAGAGGGAGGTGATGGAGGTGATGGAGGTGATGGAGAAGAGGGAGATGATGGAGGTGAGGGAGGTGAGCGAGGTGATGGAGAAGAGGGAGGTGATGGAGGTGAGGGAGGTGATAGAGGTGATGGATGTGATGGAGGTGATGGAGGTGAGGGAGGTGATAGAGGTGAGGGAGGTGAGCGAGGTGATGGAGAAGAGGGAGGTGATGGAGGTGAGGGAGGTGATAGAGGTGATGGATGTGATGGAGGTGATGGAGGTGAGGGAGGTGATAGAGGTGATGGAGGTGAGGGAGGTGATGGAGGTGATGGAGGTGAGGGAGGTGAGGGAGGTGATGGAGGTGAGGGAGGTGATGGAGGTGATGGAGGTGAGGGAGGAGAGGGAGGTGAGGGAGGTGATGGAGGAGAGGGAGGTGATGGAGGTGAGGGAGGAGAGGGAGGTGATGGAGGTGATGGAGGTGAGGGAGGTGAGGGAGGAAATGGAGGTGAGGGAGGAGATGGAGGTGATGGAGGTGATGGAGGAGAGGGAGGTGATGGAGGTGATGGAGGTGATGAAGGTGATGGAGGTGATGGAGGTGAGGGAGGTGATGGAGGTGATCGAGGAGAGGGAGGTGATGGAGGTGATGGAGGTGAGGGAGGTGATGGAGGTGAGGGAGGTGAGGGAGGTGATGGAGGTGATGGAGGAGGGGGAGGTGATGGAGGTGATGGAGGAGGGGGAGGTGATGCAGGTGATGGAGGTGAGGGAGTTAGATCTGAGCAACAGGGTTAAACCATTAAGGGAAGGAATCTACAGAGAAGCGCACCACGAATCTGTAACAGCCCTGCCCACCCCCCACTATCAAAGTCAACCCATGTTGCATGCTACGGTGGCACGATGTTAACTACCTCGCCTGGTATACAGGAGGTCGTGGGTTCGATCCTGACCCTGACCCTGACCATGCCTGCTGCTGCTGTATATTTGAAGACTGCGTGTCTCTCTCTCCGTGGTCGCGTGGATTCATTGTCTGGTTCCCCCCCCCCCCCCTCCACATCAACGTCACGCGTTTAGAGTGTTTGTTGGCTGCTTTCAATGTCCACGCGACAATGATGATGATGATGAGTCCACTTCGTTGAATTTAAATAGTTAAACTATGCATCCCACTGTGACACTATGGGTATATGTGTGAGTCTATGGATCTCTGTATGAGTCTAAAGGTCTCTATGTTGGTATTGATGTCAATGTGAGTCTATGCATCTGTATTTGAGTCGGTGGGTCTCCGTGTGAGTCTGTGGGCCTTTGTGTGAGTCTATGGGTTTCTGTGTGAGTCTGTGGGTTGCTGTGTGAGTCTATAGGTATCTATGCGAGTCTGGGTCTCTATGCGAGTGTATGCATCTCCATGTGAGTCTCTGGGGTCTCTGTGTGAGTCTATGCATCTCCATGTGAGTCTTTGGGTCTTTGTGTGAGTCTATGGATGTCTATCTGAGTATATGCACCTCCCTGTGAGTCTATATGTTTATATGCGAGTATTGATCTATATCTGATTCGACGGGTCTATGTGTGAGTCTATGGGTCTTTGTGTGAGTCTGTGGATATCGTTTTGTGAGTCTATGCATCTCCCTGTGAGTCTATAAGTTTATGTTGCGAGTATGTGTCTCGATGTGAATCTATGCATCTCCCTGTGAATCTATAGGATTATCTTGCTAGTATGGGTCTCTATGTGGGTCTATGCATCTCCCTGTGAGTCTGTGGGTCTTTGCGTGAGTCTATCGGTCTCCCTGTGAGTCTATAGGTGTCTCTTGCGAGTATGGGTCTCTATGTGAGTGTATGCATCTCTCTGTGAGTCTGTGGGTCTTTGCGTGAGTCTATGGATCTCCCTGTGAGTCTACAGGATTCTCTTGCTAGAATGTGTCTCTATGTGGGTCTATGCATCTCCCTGTGAGTCTACAGGATTCTCTTGCGAGTATGGATCTCTATGTGAGTCTATGCATCTCCCTGTGAGTCCATAGGATTATCTTGCGAGTATTGGTCTCTATGTGAGTCTATGCATCTCTCTGTGAGTCTGTGGGTCTTTGTGTGAGTCTATGGATCTTTATGTGAGGCTATGCATCTCCCTGTGAGTCCATAGGATTATCTTGCGAGTATTGGTCTCTATGTGAGTCTATGCATCTCCCTGTGAGTCTGTGGGTTTTTGCGTGAGTCTATGCAACTCCCTGTGAGTCTATAGGATTCTCTTGCGAGTATGTGTCTCTATGTGGATCTATGCATCTCCCTGTTAGTCTGTGGGTCTTTGCGTGAGTCTATGCATCTCCCTGTGACTCTATAGGATTCTCTTGCGAGTATGTGTCTCTATGTGGGTCTATGCATCTCCCTGTGAGTCTATGGATCTTTATGTGAGGCTATGCATCTCCCTGTGAGTATAAAGGATTCTCTTGCGAGTATGTGTCTCTATGTGGGTCTATGCATCTCCCTGTGAGTCTGTGGGTCTTTGCGTGAGTCTATGCATCTCCCTGTGACTCTATAGGATTCTCTTGCGAGTATGTGTCTCTATATGGGTCTATGCATCTCCCTGTGAGTCTGTGGGTCTTTTCGTGAGTCTACGGATCTCCCTGTGAGTCTACAGGTTTCTCTTGCGAGTACGGGTCTCTATGTGGGTCTATGCATCTCCCTGTGAGTCTGCAGGATTCTCTTGCGAGTATGTGTCTCTATGTGGGTCTATGCATCTCCCTGTGAGTCTACAGGATTCTCTTGCGAGTATGTGTCTCTATGTGAGTCTATGCATCTCCCTGTGAGTCTGTGGGCCCTTGCGTGAGTCTATGCATCTCCCTGTGAGTCTATAGGATTCTCTTGCGAGTGTGTCTCTATGTGGGTCTATGCATCTCCCTGTGAGTCTACAGGATTCTCTTGCGAGTATGTGTCTCTATGTGGGTCTATGCATCTCCCTGTGAGTCTGTGGGTCTTTGCGTGAGTCTATGGATCTCCCTGTGAGTCTATAGGATTCTCTTGCGAGTATGTGTCTCTATGTAAGTCTATGGATCTTTATGTGAGGCTATGCATCTCCCTGTGAGTCTGTGGGTCTTTATGTGATGCTATGCATCTCCCTGTGAGTCTAAAGAATTCTCTTGCGAGTATGCGTCTCTATGTGGGTCTATGCATCTCCCTGTGAGTCTGTGGGTCTTTGCGTGAGTCTATGGATCTCCCTGTGAGTCTACAGGATTCTCTTGCGAGTGTGTGTCTCTATGTTGGTCTATGCATCTCCCTGTGAGTCTGTGGGTCTTTGCGTGAGTCTACGGATCTCCCTGTGAGTCTATAGGATTCTCTTGCGAGTACGTGTCTCTATGTGGGTCTATGCATCTCCCTGTCAGTCTGTGGGCCTTTGCATGAGTCTACGGATCTCCCTGTGAGTCTACAGGTCTCTCTTGCGAGTATGTGTCTCTATGTGGGTCTATGCATCTCCCTGTGAGTCTATAGGATTCTCTTGCGAGTATGTGTCTCTATGTGGGTCTATGCATCTCCGCGTGAGTGTATGGGGGGGGGGGTCCCTGTGTGAGCCTACGTGAGTTGACGTGCACAATGTGCCGCTCCGCCATCGACGCGATGACAACGCTTGCCTCCGATGCTGCGTGCAGGTGCCCACTGCGTGACGCCGTGAGACTCGCCAGCGACCACGTGAGCCCCTCCGTCGAGTTGCCCCCCACCCCTCCACTGTCGAGAGTCCGAGTGCCAAAGGGAGGGGGCCGGGGGGGGTGTGGTGGGCGTACCAAGAGGCGACCCATGGCGTCGACGCTGGACCAATTCTGCGGCTCCACTTTCTGGGTGAGGAGTGCTCGCGGGAAAAGGGCGGTGGGGGAGAAAGGTGGTGGGTGGCGGATCGGGGTGAAATGAAATAAAACGAAATGATGAAATAATAATGTTTTGTAGAGAAATAAAAGGGGAGCAAGTAAAATACAAAAAAAAAACTAAAACAATCTAAATATAAAACAATCTATGAAAGCAATGGAATATATTGGAAAAAAAGACAAATATATCAAATCAAATCAATAATATATTTTTAAAAAAATAAGGGAAATAATAAGAACAAAATGTTTCGAAAATACACCAATAAAATATATTTATTAAATTGAATGAAAATCTACAATAAAAATACGAAAAATATAGAATAAATAAACATATATCGCGCATTTCATCCAAAGGACACGGCACGAAGCGGGGGGGGGGGGGGGGGGTGGTGAAGGGCAGGGGGCCCACTTTAAAAGCAGGCCAAGTTTTCAGGGCAACAATTAAATATCTATATTCATATCCTTAGCTCTTTCGGTAAAGTCACGTTGAAGGGAAACAATAAAATAATAAAATACATATATAAAACAATAAAAATTATCACGACGTTTCGACCATAACACAAACGGTCACCTGATGATGACCGTTTGTGTTATCTACATCTACAGAACGTGAAGAACCAGTGGTATCTACATCTGTAAAACATGAAGAACCAGTGGCATCTACATCTACAGAACGTGAAGAACCAGTGGCATCTACATCTACAGAACGTGAAGAACCAGTGGCATCTACATCTGCAGAACGTGAAGAACCAGTGGCATCTACATCTACAGAACATGAAGAACCAGTGGCATCTACATCTGCAGAATATGAAGAATCAATGGCATCTACATCTACAAAACGTGAAGAACCAGTGGCATCTCCATCTACAGAACGTGATGAACCAGTGGCATCTACATCTGCAGAACATGAAGAACCAGTGGCATCTACATCTGCAGAACGTGAAGAACTAGTAGCATCTACATCTGCAGAACGTGAAGAACCAGTGGCATCTGCATCTGCAGAACGTGAAGAACCAGTGGCATCTACATCTGCAGAACGTGAAGAACTAGTGGCATCTACATATGCAGAACGTGAAGAACCAGTGGCATCTACATCTGCAGAACGTGAAGAACCAGTGGAATCTGCATCTGCAGAACATGAAGAACCAGTGGCATCTACATCTGCAAAACGTGAAGAACGGGTGGGATCTACATCTGTAAAACGTGAAGAACCAGTGGCACATACATCTGCAGAACGTTAAGAACCAGTGGCATCTACATCTGCAGTACATGAAGAACCAGTGGCATCTCCATCTACAGAACGTGATGAACCAGTGGCATCTACATCTGCAGAACATGAAGAACCAGTGGCATCTACATCTGCAGAACGTGAAGAACTAGTAGCATCTACATCTGCAGAACGTGAAGAACCAGTGGCATCTGCATCTGCAGAACGTGAAGAACCAGTGGCATCTACATCTGCAGAACGTAAAGAACCAGTGACATCTACATCTGCAGAACGTGAAGAACCTGTGGCATCTACATCTGCAGAACGTGAAGAACCAGTGGAATCTGCATCTGCAGAACATGAAGAACCAGTGGCATCTACATCTGCAGAACGTGAAGAACGGGTGGGATCTACATCTGTAAAACGTGAAGAACCAGTGGCACATACATCTGCAGAACGTTAAGAACCAGTGGCATCTACATCTGCAGTACATGAAGAACCAGTGGCATCTACATCTGCAGAACATGAAGAACCAGTGGCATCTACATCTGCAGAACGTGAAGAACCAGTGGCATCTACATCTGCAGAACGTGAAGAACCAGTGGCATCTACATCTGCAGAACGTGAAGAACGGGTGGGATCTACATCTGTAAAACGTGAAGAACCAGTGGCACATACATCTGCAGAACGTTAAGAACCAGTGGCATCTACATCTGCAGTACATGAAGAACCAGTGGCATCTACATCTGCAGAACATGAAGAACCAGTGGCATCTACATCTGCAGAACATGAAGAACCAGTGGCATCTACATCTGCAGAACGTGAATAATCAGTGGCACCGACATCTGTAGAACATGAAGAACCAGTGGCATCTACATCTGCAGAACGTGAAGAACGGGTGGGATCTACATCTGTAAAACGTGAAGAACCAGTGCCACATACATCTGCAGAACGTTAAGAACCAGTGGCATCTACATCTGCAGTACATGAAGAACCAGTGGCATCTCCATCTACAGAACGTGATGAACCAGTGGCATCTACATCTGCAGAACATGAAGAACCAGTGGCATCTACATCTGCAGAACGTGAAGAACTAGTAGCATCTACATCTGCAGAACGTGAAGAACCAGTGGCATCTGCATCTGCAGAACGTGAAGAACCAGTGGCATATACATCTGCAGAACGTAAAGAACCAGTGACATCTACATCTGCAGAACGTGAAGAACCAGTGGCATCTACATCTGCAGAACGTGAAGAACCAGTGGAATCTGCATCTGCAGAACATGAAGAACCAGTGGCATCTACATCTGCAGAACGTGAAGAACGGGTGGGATCTACATCTGTAAAACGTGAAGAACCAGTGGCACATACATCTGCAGAACGTTAAGAACCAGTGGCATCTACATCTGCAGTACATGAAGAACCAGTGGCATCTACATCTGCAGAACATGAAGAACCAGTGGCATCTACATCTGCAGAACATGAAGAACCAGTGGCATCTACATCTACAGAACATGAAGAACCAGTGGCATCTACATCAGCAGAATGTGAAGAACCAGTGGCATCTACATCTGCAGAACATGAATAACCAGTGGCATCTTCCTTTGCAGAACGTGAAGAACCAGTGGCATCTCCATCTACAGAACGTGATGAACCAGTGGCATCTACAGAAGATTATACAACTTTTAAAGCCAATCCTCGTGTTTAGTGTGCAAGCTGTAAAAAGTGTTTGAAATCGACCGGAGTAAAGTTGCGACTTACGAATAAATCGACTTACGAACAGACCTCTGGAACCGAACCCGTTCGTAAGTAGAGGAGTCCCCGTATATCCATCAAGCCCCCTGTCTCGAACGTTATTTGACCTTCCACTTTCCCCTTCGCCCAATCACCTTCCCACTCTCTCCAGCAGATCAACAGAACCGACCCCCGTGTCAATCATCCCTCCGTTTCCCCTCCCCCTCCATGTTTGTATTTCTGCCTTCAATGCCATTCCATCAATGCCCCCCCCCCCCCGCCCCCCGCCTCTGACCAATTCCCCGTTCAGGGCCCGTTAAAGTGAACAATCAGAGGGGGCTTTGATTTAATACTCCCCGATGCTCACCTGACGTGTCCACCACGTCAGGTGAGCATCGTTTGGGAGTGATACAATCTCCCTACACTTAGATACACTCAATTGATCGTTAAGACCTAAATTGATCGTTAAGACTTCATTGGTTGTGGTGGTGGTGGTACACATACGTGTGCATCAGTGCCTGCAAGTAATTGTGTGCTGCTCACCCACAATGCGATGGCATTGTGGGTGAGCAGCAGGTCACCTTATCATCAGTTCCATATTTGATTGGTGGCCAGTGCCAGGTGAAGAAAGAACGAGCGTTGGAGTGCTCACGTCAATGCTGTCCGCACAAAGAGTTCTAGTAGCAGCATTCCGCACCAGCCGTGGCTTGTTTGTTGGTTTTGTTGTGACGTTCTTACCACGTGGCCACCCCCCCCCCCACCCCCACCCCCTCCCTTACTGGAGCATCTGTGAAAAGAGAGCTCTATGTATGAGTCTATGGGTCTCTATGTCTTTGGGTTCCCTATGTGAGTCTATGGGTCTGTATGTAAGTCTATGGGTCTCTGTGTCTTTGGGTTCCCTATGTGAGTCTATGGGTCTGTATGTAAGTCTATGGGTCTCTGTGTCTTTGGGTTCCCTATGTGAGTCTATGGGTCTCTATGCCTTTGGGTCCTCTATGTGAGTCTATGGGTCTGTATATAAGTCTATGGGTCTCTATGCCTTTGGGTCCTCTATGTAAGTCTATGGGTCTGTATGTAAGTCTATGGGTCTCTATGCCTTTGGGTCCTCTATGTAAGTCTATGGGTCTCTATGCCTTTGGGTCCTCTATGTGAGTCTATGGGTCTGTATGTAAGTCTATGGGTCTCTGTGTCTTTGGGTTCCCTGTGTGAGTCTATGGGTCTCTATGCCTTTGGGTCCTCTATGTGAGTCTATGGGTCTGTATATAAGTCTATGGGTCTTTGTGTCTTTGGGTTCCCTACGTGAGTCTATGGGTCTCTATGCCTTTGGGTCCTCTATGTGAGTCTACGGGTCTCTATGCCTTTGGGTCTTCTATGTGAGTCTAGGGGTCTGTATATAAGTATATGGGTCTCTGTGTCTTTGGGTCCTCTATGTTAGTATATGGGTCAATATATAATTCTATGGGTTTCTTTGTAAGTCTATGGGTCTCTATGTCTTTGGGTCTATTTGCAAGTATATGGGTATCCATGTCATTGGGCCCTTTACGTGAGTCAATGGGTCTTTATGTGAGTCTATGAGTATCTGTGCGAGTCTATGGGTTTCTGTGCGAGTCTTTGGGTCTCTATGTCTTTGGATCCTCTATGTCAGTCTATGGGTCTCTCTGATTCTGGCCACGCCGCACCACGTGTCCCGCTAAAACGGGTCGCCGCATCATCGCGCTGCTTCTGTGGCCGTCTGGAACGCTCTTCCCTTCCAATATTAGGAAGCCACTGGGAGGGGTACTGCACTTTTAAATCATCATCATCATCCAGTTTGACTAACTCATTTATTAAGAACTGCTTTTTGTGTTTAGTGGAGCGAAAGAAGTTCAACATACAAGTTCAACATACATATGAGGGTTGATGTATCGAGGACAAAAAAGTACCCCTTTATAGCCTTAACAGACTGTTGGGGCAAGTGTTGTTAGCGAGTAGCAGCAACCTATGATGGCCGGCATGGCGCACAAGAGGGTGGGTGGCCAGCACCACGCCCGGCCGCCTTTGTCTCCCTAGTGGCGATGTTTTTTACACACCGCCGCATCAGGTACCCATTTGAGGCTGAGTCAACCTAGGGGAGGCCCAGGAGCGGTTGTTGGTGGCTGTGAGGCGGCCGACGCAGGGCTTTGTGAACCCGGCGACCTGAGTTTAAGTTTATATTGGCTTCACCTCGTGTTCCAGCCGGAACATATAAACAATAACGGACACATACTGACAGAGTAACACAAACAAGAAACTATTGGGGTCTGTCTGAGTCTAGGGGTCTCTGTCTGATTCTAGTTGTCTCTTGGTGAATCTATGGGTCTCTCTGTGAGTCTATGTGTCTCTGTGTGAGTCTATGTGTCCCTGTATGAGTCTATTGATCTCTGTGTGAATCTACGGGTTTCTGTGTGAGTTTGTGCGTCTCTGTGTGAGTCTATGGGTCTCTTGGTGAGTCTGTGGGTCTCAGTGTGAGTCTATGGATCTCTGTGTGAGTCTGTGAGTCTCTCTGTTAGTCTGTGGGTCTCTGTATGAGTCTGTGCGTCTCTGTGTGAGTCTGTGGGTCTCTTGGTGAGTCTATGGGTCTCAGTGTGAGTCTGTGGGTCTCTGTGTGAGTCTACGGGTTTCTGTGTGAGTCTGTGCGTCTCTGTGTGAGTCTATGGGTCTCTTGGTGAGTCTATGGGTCTCAGTGTGAGTCTATGGGTCTCTGTGTGAGTCTGTGAGTCTCTGTGTGAGTCTGTGGGTCTCTGTGTGAGTCTGTTGGTCTCAGTGTGAGTCTGTGGGTCTCTGTGTGAGTCTATGGGTCTCAGTCTGAGTCTATGGATCTCTGTGTGAGTCTGTGAGTCTCTCTGTTAGTCTGTGGGTCTCTGTGTGAGTCTGTGCGTCTCTGTGTGAGTTTATGGGTCTCTTGGTGAGTCTATGGGTCTCAGTGTGAGTCTGTGGGTCTCTGTGTGAGTCTACGGGTTTCTGTGTGAGTCTGTGCGTCTCTGTGTGAGTCTATGGGTCTCTTGGTGAGTCTATGGGTCTCAGTGTGAGTCTATGGGTCTCTGTGTGAGTCTGTGAGTCTCTGTGTGAGTATGTGGGTCTCTGTGTGAGTCTGTTGGTCTCAGTGTGAGTCTGTGGGTCTCTGTGTGAGTCTATGGGTCTCTGTGTGAGTCTGTGGGTCTCTGTGAGTCTACGGGTCTCTGTGTGAGTCTGTGAGTCTCTCTGTTAGTCTGTGGTGTCTCTGTGTGAGTATATGGCTCTCTGTATGAGTCTATGGCTCTGTGTGTGTGTCTCTGGGTCTCTGTGTGCATTTATGGGTCTTTGTGTGAGTTTATGGGTCTCTGTGTGCGACTATGGGTCTGTGTGTGGGTATATTGGTATCTGTGTGAGTCTACAAATCGTCGTGTTAGTCTATGGATCTCTATGTGAGTCTATGGCTCTTTGTGTGAGTCTGTGGGCCTTTGTGTGATTCTGTGGGTCTCTGGTTGAGTTTATGGGTCTCTACTTGAGCCAATGGATCTCTGTGTGAGTCTATGGGTCTCTGTGTGAGTCTGTGGGTCTCTATGCGATTTTATGGGTCTCTGTGTGAGTCTATCGATCTCTGTGTGAGTCTATGGATCTCTGTGTGAGTCTATGGATCTCTGTGTGAGTCTATAGATCTCTGTGTGAGTCTATGGGTCTCTGTGTGAGTCTATGGATCTCTGTGTGAGTCTATGGATCTCTGTGTGAGTCTATGGATCTCTGTGTGAGTCTGTGGGTCTCTATGCGATTTTATGGGTCTCTGTGTGAGTCTATAGATCTCTGTGTGAGTCTATGGGTCTCTACATGAGTTTATGTGTCTCTGTGTGAGTCTATGGATCTCTGTGTGAGTCTATGGGTCTCTGTGTGATTCCACCTATGTATGTTGAACTTCTTTCCCACTGCACGTAGCCAACCGTGCCAATCGGAGGTCGCGTTCTCACCTCCCCGTCCACTCTCTCCCATTCCTCCCCACTTCGTCACCCCCCCACACCCCACCCACCCCACCCCATGCGTCCTCGCCTCTTCAAGAACTCATCGCTCCTCGAGACGGAGACGCCCGACCTGACGGTGTGCTTCGAGCAAACGGTACTCGTGTGGGCCCCGCTATCGCTGCTCTGGCTCCTGGCGGCTCCCGTGCAGCTGGTGAATCTCTGGCGCGTGCCGAGCGCGGCGCGGCCCGTCCAGCGGCGGCGATTCAGCTTCCTGTACATCGCCAATCAGGTGACCCGTTTCCATCCCCAAGCCCGGTGACGCGCTTGACCTCTCCGTACCGGGGTGTGCGCGCCTGGGCGGCGGGGGTGACCCGCGGCGAGAGCCTAGGCTGTCCCGTAGGGTCGTCACGCAGAGTTCCGTGGGCTCGCATCGAGACCCATAGACTCGCGCAGAGAGCCATTCGAGGGATGTTGCGACGCTGCGGGGCGTCGCGAAGCTGGGGGAAATCTTTTGACCTCGTTGTGAGCCTATGGGACTGTCTGTGAGTCTATGTGTCTCGGTGTGAGTCTATGGGTCTCTGTGTGAGTGAGCCTATGGTTCTCTATGTGAGTCTATGGGTCTGTCTGTGAGTCTATGTGTCTCGGTGTGAGTCTATGAGTCTTTGTGTGAGTGAGCCTATGGTTCTCTGTGTGAGCCTGTGGGCCTATGTGTGAGTCTGTGGGTCTCTGTGTGAGTCTGTGGGTCTCTGTGTGAGTCTGTGGGTCTCTGTGTGAGGCTATGGGTCTCGGTGTGAGTCTATGGGTCTTTCTGTGATTTTTGTGTCTCTGCATGAGTCTATGGGTATCTTTGTGAGTCTATGGGTCTTTGTGTGAGTGAGCCTATGGTTCTCTATGTGAGCCTGTGGGCCTATGTGTGAGTCTATGAGTCTCTGTGTGAGTCTATGGTTCTCTATGTGAGCCTATGGGACTATCTGTGAGTCTATGTGTCTCGGTGTGAGTCTATGGGTCTTTGTGTGAGTGAGCCTATGGTTCTCTATGTGAGCCTGTGGGCCTATGTGTGAGTCTGTGGGTCTCTGTGTGAGTCTGTGGGTCTCTGTGTGAGTCTATGGGTCTCTGTGTGAGTCTATGGGTCTCTGTGTGTGCCTTTGGTTCTCCATGTGAGTCTATGGATCTCTGTGTGAGTATATTGGTCTCTGTGTGAGTCTATGAATCTCTGTGTGAGTCTATGGGTCTCTGTGTGAGCGTTTGGTTCTCCATGTGAGTCTATGGATCTCTGTGTGAGTATATTGGTCTCTGTGTGAGTCTATGAATCTCTGTGTGAGTCTATGGGGCGTTGTGTGTGTGAGTCTACGGATCTCTATGTCAGTCTATGGATCTATATGTCTCTCTGTCTTCTATGTAAGTCTATTGGAAAACAATAAAATAATAAAAAAATATATAAAACAATAAAAATTTGTGAGAATTTTTATTGCTTTATATATATTTACTTATTTTATTGTTTCCCTTCAACGTAACTTTACCGAAAGAGCTAAGAATATGAATTACTGCAGTCACGAAAGCTTTAAATCAAAGTTTAAGTCTATTGGACTCGATGTTTTGGGTCCTCTATGTGAGTCTATGGGTCTCTGTGTTAGTTTATGGGTCTCTATGTAATTGGGTCCTCTATGTGAGTCTATGGTGCTCTATGTGAGTCTACGGGTCTCCATGCAAGTCTATGGGTCCTTGTTTTTAGGTCCTCAATGTGAGTCTATGCATCTCTGCGTGAGTCTATGAGTCTCTATGCAGGTCTACCGTTCTCTCTGATTCTGATCCTGGCTATGCCGCACCACGTGCCCCGCAAAGCCGGCTCGCCAAATCATCGCGTGGCGCTTTTGGACGGCGTGTTTCTGCAGCCGTCTGGAACGCTCTTCCCTTCCAATATTAGGAAGACACTGGGAGCTGTGATGCCACTTTCAAATCATCATCATCATCATCATCCAGATTGACAAACTCATTTCTTTACAACTGCATTTAGTTTTTAATTTTGATTTAAAGCTTTCGTGACTGCAGGGATTCATATTCTTGATTCATTCGGTAAAGTCACCACCACGTAGAAGGGAAACAATAAAATAAAATAAAAATATAAAACAATAAAATTCTCACGACGTTTCGACCGCAACACAAGCAATCATCATCAGGTGTGAAAACCACAGCAAGAATTTTTTTTGAAAAAAGTGGCGTTTTTGTTGTTGTTGTTTTCACACCTGATGATGATTGCTTGTGTTGCAGTCGAAACGTCGTGAGAATTTCATTGTTTTATATTTGTATTTTTGTATTGTTTCCCTTCTACGTGGTGACTTTACCGAAAGAACCAAGACTATAACTGCATTTAGTGTTTAGTTTGTTGTCTTTCCCGCCGCAATAATCATGAGCGCGTTTGTCTACATGCGGTGGCGCTAAAGAAGTTCAACACACATATGAGGTTTGATGGACCAAAGACAAAAATCCGCCGTATCGCCTCCACAGATTGTCGTGGCAAGTGCTGTGTTCGCGTAGCACTTATGAAGGCCGGCACGGCACATGAGGGGGCTGGTGACCAGCACCACGCCAGGCCGCCTTTGTCTCCCCAGTGGCAAAATTTTACAACACAGCCACATCAGGTACCAATTTGAGGCCGAGTCGAACTAGGGGAAGGCCAGGAGCGGATTCAGATGATCGTCGCTGGCGATGGTGGTGGTGGCCGTGAGCGGCAAATTGAACTCGGGTCGCAGGGTTTGTAGAAACCTTGCGCCACGTGGACAGGCAAAGATCCCCCGTGTAGCCTTGACAGACTGTCGGGGCAAGTGCTGTCAGTAGTAGCGAGTATCAGCACCTTACACACAGACAAAGATCCCCCGTGTAGCCTTGACAGACTGTCGGGGCAAGTGCTGTCAGTAGTAGCGAGTATCAGCACCTTACACACAGACAAAGATCCCCCGTGTAGCCTTGACAGACTGTCGGGGCAAGTGCTGTCAGTAGTAGCGAGTATCAGCACCTTACACACAGACAAAGATCCCCCGTGTAGCCTTGACAGACTGTCGGGGCAAGTGCTGTCAGTAGTAGCGAGTATCAGCACCTTACACACAGACAAAGATCCCCCGTGTAGCCTTGACAGACTGTCGGGGCAAGTGCTGTCAGTAGTAACGAGTATCAGCACCCTACACCCAGACAAAGATCCCCCGTGTAGCCTTGACAGACTGTCGGGGCAAGTGCTGTCAGTAGTAGCGAGTATCAGCACCTTACACACAGACAAAGATCCCCCGTGTAGCCTTGACAGACTGTCGGGGCAAGTGCTGTCAGTAGTAGCGAGTATCAGCACCTTACACACAGACAAAGATCCCCCGTGTAGCCTTGACATACTGTCGGGGCAAGTGCTGTCAGTAGTAACGAGTATCAGCACCCTACACCCAGACAAAGATCCCCCGTGTAGCCTTGACAGACTGTCGGGGCAAGTGCTGTTAGCGAGCAGCAGCAGCAGCAGCAGTCTATGAAGGCCGGCACGGCGCACGAGGGGGTGGGTGGCCAGCACCACGCCTGGCCCGCCTTTGTCTCCCCCAGTGGCGATGTTTTTACACGCCGCCGGATTAGGTACCCGTTTGACGCTGAGTCGACCTAGGGGAGTCCCAGGAGCGGTTGTTGGATGGCCGTGGGCGGGGTATCAAAGTGGGGTCGCCGAGTTCGCAGCGAGGCAGCCAGCGCAGGGCTTTGTGAACCCGGTGACCTGAGGTTGAGGTTGTGTTGGCTCTTAAAATGCCTTCAACTTTCAACTCGTGTTACAGACTGAATATATGAGCAATAACGTACATAAACTCACAGGATAACACTATAAAATACAAACATGGGACTAGCCTTGGCAATGAAACGGATATTGCAGTGTCGCGGGGTGTTGTAAAGCTAGGAGAGATCTTTGGATATCTGTCCAGTGAGTCTATGGGTCCCTGTGTGAGTCTATGAGTCTCTGTGTGAGTCTATGTCACTCTGTGTGAGTCTTTGGGTTTCTCGGGGAGTCTATGGGTCTCTGTGTGAGTCTTTGGGTCTCTGTGTGAGTCTTTGTGTCCCTGTGTCAATCTATGAGTCTCTGTGAGAGTCTATGGGTTCTCTGTGTGAGTCTATGAGTCTCTGTGAGAGTCTATGGGTCTCTGTGTGAGTTTATGGGTCTCTTTGAGAGTCAATGCGTCTTTGTGTTGGTGAGCCAATCATTCTCTATGTGAGTCTAATGATTTTCTATGTGAGTCTATGGGTCTTTGTGTGAGTCTATGGATCTGTGTATGAGTCTATGTGTCTCTGTGTGAGTCTTTGGGTCTCTGTGTGAGTCTCTGTGTCCCTGTGTGAGTCTATGAGTCTCTGTGAGAGTCTATGGGTCTCTTTGTGAGTATATGAGTCTCTGTGAGAGTCTATGGGTCTCTGTGTGAGCTTATGGTTCTCTTTGAGAGTCAATGGGTTTTTGTGTTGGTGAGCCAATCATTCTCTATGTGAGTATAATGATTTTCTGTGTGAGTCTATGGGTCTCTGTGTGAGTCTATAGGTCTCTGTGTGAGTCTATGGGTCTCTGTGTGAGTCTATAGGTCACTGTGTGAGTCTACGGGTCTCTGTGAGAGTCTGTGAGTCTCTGTGTGAGTCTATAGGTCTCTGTGTGAGTCTACGGGTCTCTGTGTGAGTCTATAGGTCTCTGTGTGAGTATATGGGTCTCTGTGTGAGTCTATGGGTCTCTGTGTGAGTCTATGGGTCTCTGTGTGAGTCTATAAGTCTCTGTGTGAGTCTATAGGTCTCTGTGTGAGTCTATAGATCTCTGTGTGAGTCTACTGGTCTCTGTGTGAGTCTGTAGATCTCTGTGTGAGTCTACGGGTCTCTGTGTGAGTCTACAGGTTTCTGTGTGAGTCTATGGGTCTCTATTTGAGTCTACGGGTCTCTGTGTGAGTCTATGGGTTCTCTGTGTGAGTCTATGTTGTCTCTGTGTGAGTCTATGTGTCTCTGTGTGAGTCTACGGGTCCCTGTATGAGTCTACGGGTCTCTCTGTGAGTCTATGGGTCTCTATGAAGGTCTTCGGGTCTCTGTGTGGAACGTCTATGGGTCTCTACAAGATATCCCTAGGGTTATCTGCGTGCCGATACCGACGGCGACAATGATTAGAAGTGATGCTCACATTTCTCACTGACACATTGACAGACAGGAAGAGAGCGGGGAGATGCTGAGCCTGCAAACGCTGAGAGCCTGGGTCCCAGGTGACATCCGGGTTATAGCTGCGCAGCCCACAGAGATTACACCATGGGTCTCATAGACACACACAGAGACCCATAGATTCATCACACAGAGTTCCGTAGACTCGTATAGAGAGCCATAGACTAACATAGTGCTCCACAGACTCATCATATTGAGACCCATAGACAGACAGATAGACATAGACTCATACAGAGAGCCATAAACTCACACAGAGAGCCATAGACTCACACCGAGAGACATAGACTCACACAGAGAGCCATTGACTCACAAAGAGACATAGACTCTCCACAGAGAGCCATTGACTCACACAGAGAGCCATAGACTCACACAGCCATAGACTCACACAGAGAGCCAG